AAGAAGAAGAAGAAGAAGAAGAAGAAGAAGAAGAAGAAGAAGTTAGAGGAAGAGGAGGAGGAGGGGAAGGTGGAGAGGGAGGAGGACGAGGAGGAGGAGGGAGAGGGAGAAGTGGAGAGGGAGGAGAAGGAGGAAGAAGAAGTAGAATTGTGGCTCAAGTGGTAGAGCACCATTCTTGAGCAAACTCTCTAAGGAGCAGGGCAAGGCCCTGAGCTAGTTCAAGCCCCAGTATTGACAACAATAACAACAAAATTGGCTGGAATTAAGCAATCTCACAGTGTGATACACACTGTTATTTGACAATCACTTCCTTAGATTAAATGTTGATCCATAATGGGGAGAAAAAAGATGCCCTTGCAGTACTCACAGGCATGGAATTTTTGCACATTCAAAAATCTCTAGGTGTGTATCTCAGTGCTAGATCTAGAACTAACATATGCTAGGTCCTGGGTTCCATCCCTAGTACTGTAGAATAAAACAAAACCTTTTAACATGAAAACTTTATTTCCATCAAAATAACCTCATGAACTTACAGATCACTGTCCTTATGGATGATGATGTTAAGGCTTTATGGATTATTATTTATTTTTAAATAAGTTAGTGTATTTCATTTACTCCCATTTTGCTTTATGTATTGTCAGATAAAATAACAATTTCTCAAATAGAAAATATTGGCTTTTTTCCTGTTTCCTTAGCAGTCTAAAACATGGCCTGCTTAAATGACTTGTTTATACTCATTAGAAACCCTTTTATTTTAATTGTGCATATTTTGCAATTAGCCTTGTAAAGCACTCATGAACCACCTTTTTATTAGTTTTAATTGTGTCATTACAAAGCTGTGGAAAGCTTAAAATGCCTTTGTTTGTTTATTTGGTTCATTTGTTTGCTTGCTTTTTTCTATAAAGGGAAAATAATTAGCAGTCAGAGTTAGGAATATAAGAAACAAGTTCCCAAGGAAATTAAACTAACAAAGATTGGTCAAATTGTTCTTGAAAGTTAAAAACCCTTCCCTTATGACTAGTGCTGTCTGCTTTCTCGTTCTCAAATAGTATATGTGAAGGGAAAATGAACAGACAAAAAAGGAAAGATGTACACTATTTACATAGTAAAGCTTTTAGCCAGATGCCAGTGGCTCATGTCTATATTCTGAGCCACACATGAGGCTTAGATCCAGAGGTCTGAAGTTCAAAGTCAGCCTGGGCAGAAATGGCTGCAAGACTCCATCTCCAAAATAAACAAAAACAAGCTAGACTAAGGCATGGCTTAAGTGGTAGAGTGCCTGTTGAGGAAGCAGTACAAATGAGAGTGCAAAGATCTGATTCTAAACCCTAGTGCCAGAGAAATAATGAATAAATAGATCAATTAATTAACTATATTCAGCATTTAATCTAAGAACTTTATAGTATAGCCATGTCCTGAAAGATTAAGAATTATTATCAATACAAAGGGGAAAATGTTACAAAAGAACTTTAAGTTTTTACTCAGAGTATGCATTTTTTTCAATAGTGTAAAAGGTAATGCGAAATCATTTTTCCTAAAAACAAGTGAATTCTTTACAGAAGAAAAGTGTCACAGTTAATTGCTATTTTTAATGCCACAGAATTTGATGTATATTGACTCTGAGAAGAAACCATAGTTAAAATATAATTACTATTAATTGCTTGGGAAATAAGAATGTTAAATTTCTTCACATTGTTTTCCTGAAAATATGTTTTAAGTCTCCTAAAGTCATCCTGTTTATGCTACATTTAGGTCATTAGTTCTCAGTCTATTTGTGTCCTTATTCACTTTCTTGGTCAAAAGTGATCAGGCCCAATTATAAAAGTTCACAGTTGTCCTGAAAACTACATCCAAAGAAAGACAATGGGGAAAAAATACAGGAATATTTTGTCTTCAGACCAAGACAATAAAATTTCATGCTGGACTGGAATGCAAAAACATCTTTATTTAAAGTTTTAAAAAATACACATTTCAATGGTACAATTTATTGTCAAGAATGTTTCTAACAAAGGCAAAAATGATATTAAAAGCAAAGGATTGTGTTCATTCAGTCTGAGAACTACCCGCTTTGTCATAGTATCCCACAATTCCTCAGAATTTAACAGCAACCAGGGACTCAGCCTTATAGAAAGGCTTGAGTTCTATTTGGAGCACTATGTGTCAGGGCCATGTTGCTAGAAATGATAATTCACATCAAAGAAATCTCTTTTCAAAACAGGAGAAATAGTAAGGTGCCTGGCATCTGAAATTCAGATTAGTCCACGGAGTCTATGGCCTAACTCGATTCCTTCACTGGGCTATAGTCTCCAACCCTGAGCAATGCTGAGTTCTAGCTCCTAAAGTTTGAATTGCAGGCTTTTCCAGAAACTCTCAGCCCAAAGGAACCCTTCTCTCCAAAGCTCTCTAGGGATGAAAAAGTGAGAACGAATAATTTAGTTTATTTTATTTCATTTTATTTTTTGGTGCCAGTACTGGGACTTGAACTTGGGTTTCACTCAAGGCTTTGCTTCCAGGTTTGGGGTAGTTAATTGGAGATAAAAATCTCACAGACTTTTCTGGCCTGATTCTCAGATCTCAGCTTCCTGAGTAGCTACGATTACAGGTGTGAGCTATCAGCACCTGTCTCAATACCTTTGTCTTTGGGATGGGAGGCCTGCCATGATATAATTTTTCCATCAAAGTTCTCTGGGACCAAAGTGATGCTAGTCTCGAACTAAAAGAACATCCTTCCTTGCTTTCTCTGTCTTGCTACTTCTCTCACTCCCCTCCTCTGAAGGGCACTTCTGACTGTGCTTCTCTAACCCTGACCGAAAGCAGAAAACATCAGAAACAAAAGCTAAGCCTACACCCTGGGCACCACACTGTACTATA